CAGATCTGCCATGGCCACGAGCGACAGGCCGTCGAAACGAGTGATCCGCAGGGGAATCATGGCCGCCATTTCCTGCAACACACCTGCAGGCAGCATCAAACAGACAATCAATGCATGCTGACAATACTAGTCGTTTTCTCATCCTCCTCCCTCCCTCCCTCCCTCCCTCCCTCCCAGGGCTTGCCGGGCTGTCGACTTGCCTGTGTCCTGGTCGTGCTCATCGAATGCTCTGCCGATGATAGCCATGTCGAGTGGCTGCAGCAGGTGCATCGACAGCTTGGCACGCTTCGAGAAGATCTCCCAGAAGGCCCGTTTCTTCTTGGTGGCCACGTCGACCAGCAGCTTCTCCGCCGTCCGCACCAGGTGGCGCACATCAGCATTCACCAACACGTTCTGATAGTCATGCCTACCAACAGAACCCACAAAGATCTGTGCCATCATTCTTTTATTCATTCGGCCTTTCTTCCTGCTGGGCTGACCGGATAGGTCTGAGGTTGAACTTGATGGTCCTCTGCGGCCCATCGCTCGTGGCTGCGCGGACATCCAGATGCGACAAGCCTCTCACACAAGACGGCGGCGCAGGGGCACTTCCTGCTGCCAGCTGCAACTGGGGAGGATGCAGCCAGCGGGAGATGGGCAGCATTTCTGGAGCGGTGTGGGATTGGCTTCAAGCTCGCAGTCTTTGAGTGAAGAAGGGAAGATCTGTCGTTTATCTGTCCATTTGCCGAAGATCTGGAGCAGACCTACCCCGTTTCGTTCGCAAACATGTCGTCATTCGTCGGATTTCTCCTCATCGCATCTGCCGCTGGTCTCTCGTGCCGTCCCACCTCAGCCTGGCAGCCTTATGAGCACCTCAAGATGCCTCTCGCTTCACCTCTGGCGGGAATCGACCGCCCGACTCATCGCCTGCGACGCGCGCCGTCCTTCGTCCCACCTACCATCGCGGAGCCTGCTGCTTCCACACTGGCAGGGGGGCGGCGTGCGGCGCCTGGGTGGTTGTCGCTGAATGAGGGGGGATCCATGGATTGGTGGGTGTCGGGGCCAATGGTGGAGGATATGGTTGCCAGCTACACGAGGGGGCTGGACGACGTGCCGCTGCCCCTGCAGGCGTCCATCTTCCGGATGATTCCCGCACACCCTTATGAGACGCCGACCGGACTACACGGAGACCCTGCATGTGAGTGCAGTGCAAATGTGGTGGGTGGGTGGGTGGGTGAGGGATGGTTATGGGTGGTGTGGCGTCCTTTCGTTCCCTTGTCCCTCTTTGTGTGTGTGCAGCCCATGTTCTCGCCTCCACCTTCTTGCTGGACGCGCCTCATGAGCCGCTGTTCGTCACGCGAAGCGACAAAGTCATTGACGCAGGTCAGGTCAGCCAGGGGGGTAGAGTAGAAGGGGGAAAAGAACGTGGCTGCGTTGTGTGCATGATGTCAGACTATGTGATACTCCAGTCGACGTTCACCAACAGCACAGTAAGTTTGTATGTGGACGGGACGGGCAGAGGGATGGCAGCTCGTAGCCTACACGCACCACACACTACATTCCACCCAACTGATGCGTGTGCGCACTGCAGCTGTTGGGTCGTGTGGTCATGAAGTGCCCCAAGTGGGATGTGGCCTTCATCAAACTCCAAGAGCCATACTCACTCGACGTAAGTCGACGAGCCGCACATCAGACAGGCAGGCAGGCAGGCAGGCAGTTCTTTCCTCCTTCCATCATTCAGGCATACAAGCAGTATGTGAGTGAGAAGCTGGGTGGCGTTGTCCCCGAGCCGTTCGTGGCGGAGGACGCCTCACACGAGGCCATCGAGGGCGCACCAGTCATGGTGATGGGCTACATGGCCAACCAAGGCTCCATGCTGCCAGCTGATGTCGAGGTGGGTGAGGGTGAGGGCAAGCTTTCGTACAGCCCATATACCGGCCCAGCTACCCTGCACGGCACACTCAAGGGTGAGGGGAGGTGGGAGGGGACGCAGACAGACTGAATGCCATGTGCCTCTCTGCATTCTGTCACATTTCCTCGCTCACCCGTGTGTGTACATGTCAGATACTCTGTGCTCCATCGAGAATGGCGTGATGCTGCCGCACAATGTCTACGTCCCTTTCGGCACGTCTGGCGGCCCCACCGTCGAGCGCAACACGGGCAGAGTGCTGGGCATGAGCGCTGTTGCCTACCTAGGTATGATTCATGTACGTGGACCGTTCGTTCCTTTGTGACTGCATCTTTGGTTGGTGTAGAGGACGAGGATGACGAAATGGCCCCGTCTGAGATGCCGACATTTCTGTCTGTGTTCGTCTGGAAGCTCCTCATGCTCGCCCGGGTGTACGCCGACAACCAGAAGGAGGAATTCACTACAATCGTAAGACAGACCACAGACAACAGACAGACAGACACCCACACCCACACCCACCCACCGATCTTCTCGCCTTCTCTACGCATCGATGCGATGCATGGATGCCTCCCCATCCATGCAGGTCGGTATTCCTCGTCTGGAGAAGGATTGGTCCAAGAATGAGACCGAGATGTGTTTCTCAGAGGGCCTTATGAAGGCCGGCTTGGCGTCTGCAAGCTACGAAGAGATGGCGCCTCTCGACGTCGAGATTCAGCAGCTTCGAGAGGCTTTCACGGACGCGGTGCTGCGGAAGCACTGGGACGTGCTGTCGGTGGCGTTTGGGATGGAGAACATCAAGAAGGAGGACATCGACGAGATGCCTGCGCCCATCTTCTTCGTACGCTTGAGCAAGACCAAAATGATCCTTCAGTCACCGATCCGCCCACCAAATAAATGTGTGCGTGTGTGTGTCCCCCTGTGCACTGCAGCAAGTGCTGCACGACCTGATGTATCTGTGGGTGAACCCACACATACATCAGGTCCCTGCCAGAAGAGACTGGGTACACAGCAGGCAGCCGCTGATTTGATTAGCACTGAGTGAGTATCGATCGCTGCCTTCCTTGTGTGTGTGTGGCCATACATACATACATACATACATAAATCTGCAGGTCGATCGTCATCGGTATCTGTTTCCTACTGTGTCCGAGCTGCTGGGTCGCAACGCGACGGCCTTGGGCATGATGGGCATTGACTATTTCTTGGCGTCTGTCCAGGCCTACAATGCCAATGCCTTGAACGAGATGGGCCAGATGGTCACTCAGTCTATGCATGCGTCTGTCCTGGCCCAAAAAGGTAAGGTATACCTAGGGGGTCCTGTCGTATGTGTGTGTGCACACGCTAAGCTACAGGCAGGCAGGCCATTCGTTCAGCTACCAACGTATCCCTTGTGTGCCCACCTCTCCCTTCTTTCATTCATTCAGACACTGATGAAAGCATTGGCGCGCAGCCGGAGGGCTGATTTGATTTGTCGGGTCGGCAGGTGCTGAGCGGCCGAAGGATCTATTCACACATTTTTTTATTGTGTGACATGAGACAGAGGGTGCGACTGCATTTAGGAAGGTTCTCCAGGGTCCTATGCGTCTGTCTGTCTATCGCACTCTGTCTAGTCGTGTCGACGGGATGAGGGTTTAGTCAGGTCGGCCGTGAGTGTGCCGTGCCGTCAGGTCGGATGGATCACATAATTAGTGGCACGGCGGGCGGCAGACAGCAGAGGGACGCGACGCGACACGGCCGTCACACACATCATGTGGCCGTCGTATTTGTTACTTACATGCTCAGATTGACTGCATGGCATGTGTGTGCTGCGCTGCGCTCAGAAGGAGAGAGGCGAACTCCTGACTGACTGACGCGGGCTGGTTGGCTGTGTGGTGACGGTGTGTGGGTGTGGGCATGTTGGGCTGCATGATACATAAGACAACCAACAGGTTTTTGTCGTACAGGTAAGGTAGAACAGGCTGTTTGGCTGGAGGGATGGCTGGCGTGGAACGGCCATGGGTGTCTGTGGTGAGTGGTAGACATGACAGCGCCGCGTGTGTGTGCGAATGAAATTCTTCCACGTGTGTGTGGTGCGCTGGTGAGTGCGACGCGGGAAGGACACACACACTTGACGACACATCGCAGGAGCGAATCAACGCACCAGGTCCATCCAATGCACGCAGCGATAGACAAGTGGACGCCCTTCTGTGTGCCTCGTGTGCCTTGCTTGCTGACCTCCATGGTGACGTCCAGCCATCTGTCTTGACTAGAGTAGTGCATGATGCACTCGGACCAGCCTGTGCGGTAACGTACTTCAACCCAGCATGGCAACAATACCAACGATTTCCCGTTTTCGACGCCCAACGTAGGACATACTCGAGATTTTCTCGACGCGAGACGCGGCGTCAGAGATGTCCTACGTTGGGCGAGCAAACAGACCATTTTTGGCGTTTTGTAAGGCTGATGTCCGGCGGTCAGTCCCCTCTGTCTGTCTGAGTTATGAACATACGGAACCGTCCAGCCCCTCCAGGCCAGGCAGCACACCACGCACGTACACATTTTCTCGCCCCTCCTCCATCATACAGCCTGAGACCCCGACAAAATGCCACTTTGGTGAGGAATGTGGCAGGAACACCTCTCTACACACACCTCCCCTCCCCTCTCCTCTACTGGCTCCTCTATGTCTCTATGCATCGCATCGCACGGCATCCCTCTCACACAAATACGCGCACAAGAACCCTCACCCATCCATCCATCCACCCACTCGCTTATCGCCATACACATGCATGCTGCACACGCCGCAAACACCGCACACAGAGCAAAACTGTCGGCCGCTTCTCGACTTGACTGGCTGGGAAGGGCCCTCAGGCTGGCGTGAAAGTGTGTGCGCCGTCACATCTTCACTCTCCGCTTTTCACTTTCTTGGCTGCATGGGCGGTCAGGAACTCCTCCTTGTGCTGCACCAGATATGTCTGATCAGACGAGGCAGTATCACACATACCTCGCCGTGGTCCTTCGCCATTTCGTTCCTTCCCCTTCCTCCCTGATGCTCACTTTGAGTTTTTCGAGGGCTCTGTATCTGTGTGAGATGGTGTTTTTGAGCTCCTTGGTCATCTCGGCATAGGTCTGGTCGAAGCCGTGGGGCTGGAAGATCGGGTCCCTGAAACCGCCACACGCACACAAATAAATGCACGTATGGTGGGCATGCTGCTGGTCTGTAGTAGGTCTGTGTGTCGCTCACCATCCGAAATTGGGATCGCCGCGGGCATCGACAATCACACCCTGACGAGAGAGGGGCAGACAACACAACACCAGTGAGGGCTGCATGCAGTCAGCCATGTGTACGCAGCCAGTCGTGCTCGTGCAGCTGACGTACGTTCGTCCGTCCCTCGAAGAGCAGCGGCTTCTCGAGCGTGTCGTCCATATACGAAAACATGCATAACGCATACGCACTCTTGTCCTGCACGAAAGAACACACCAGTGATTCAGTACCCGTGCCCTCTCCTGGCTGGTCTGTCTTACGTCGAATCCGGCCAAGAGCTTGGGCAGGTCCTTGTGGCCCAGCTTCTTCAGAAACCACTTGCTGACAACACGCACATCAAGTCACATGGAAGACTGCATATGCAAGAATGGCATGACCTCCCTCCGGTGCGTTGGGCGTACACGTATGGCCCTGGCAGGCCGCCGAGCGCATTGAAGCAGAGCGATGTGTCCTCGACGATGACGGGCTGCTTGAGCTGGTTGAAGGCCAGCCGACACTTGCCCACAGAGATGTCTGCAGGATCGCCCTGCAACTCTGGCACTGACCAAACACACAACAACACAGGCACTGTGTGATGAAGTGCTCTGGGTGTGTCCAATAGTGTGGATGCTCACAGTCGACATCTGCTGAGGTGAGAGTGACGGTCTTGCCCAGGATGAACGACACCTCACGAAGCTTGTTCGCATTCCCTGTGTGGACACACACATGTGTGTGCGACGGATGATCAGTGGTATAGATCTTGCCTGTACAGAAGCAGAGGACCATCTCCTTCCCCTTCTCCGTCACACACTGCAGCAGACACACATCACCCACACCAAGACACATCACACTGCAACGTCATCTCCTCCATCTGTCGGCTGCTTGCATCATCACTCACCATATCGTCAGCCATCACTGCAGGTTCAACAGGCGTCAGCTCGAGAGCCGTCCGCGACAAGTGATCAGGATACAGCGAGAGGCGTCCAGCGCCTTGCCGTGACCTCGAGCGATGAAAGGGCCGTATCACCCGCTCTGTCAGGCGGAATGCGGACGCACCAATGGGGGTTCGCTGCAGCACCGCCGGCAGCAGCGACAAGACGACAACGGAACAGACCTTCGCTGAGATGATGAGATCTGCTATAAACGTGCAATGCCCTTGCCTCCCTGGCGACATCAGACGCCGAGAAATAGAGGGCTTGCAGATATAAGCTCGCAGGCTGATCGCGAGAAGATCTCCCCCTTGTTTGTCGAATGCAGTGCTTCTGGAGTACTTATGGAACATAGAAAGCCGTCCGCTGTGCTCGGCTGGTGAGATCTGCCACCGACTGATATTGCAGCGGAGATGCCAAGCAAGAGGACGCTGGCGGAAGCCATTTATCAGATTGCAGTGTCCAGGCAGACGATGCTCTTCATCCCTTTCATCCTGCTCGCCCTCCCTCTCCCGCACTCCGCTTTTGTCGTTCCCTCTCCTCCCTGCTCATCACCCGCCAGACTCCCCGCCTCCCCCCTCCCCTCTCAGCTGCGAATGCAGCGCCATGAAGACCCTGCCGACCTGCCGGGCGCAGACGGCATGGAGCGTCACTTGAGTCGCCATGGCAAGGAGGCGTTCCCTCTCCCGCAGGCAGAGATCACGGCTGACGAGATGAGGATATCTGACAGCATTGCCCGCATTAACCGGCTGAACCAACGGAGCCGGCAGAGAGGGATTCCCACGTCGGCTGCCGCCAGGAGGGACAAGAAGAAGCGCGAGAGGCGGTTGGAGATGCAGGGGCCGCCGATGCCCACGCTGCCTGATGTGGACGACTTCACCATTGACGGGAGGAGGCCCGGCAAGGGCGCGCCGCCCGTCAGCCCGCCGCCTGATCTGCCGTCGATGCTGCTGCACAACCGTATAGTCTACTTGGGGATGCCTTTGCTGCCTGCCGTGACGGAGCTGATTGTGGCGAAGCTGCTGTACCTCAACTACGAGAGCGCCACCAAACCCATCTACATGTACATCAACTCACCAGGTGCGAATTGGCCGACAGAAAGGCTGTGTGTGGGCGCACTCGTGTGCACGTCTGTTTGTGTGTGGTGTGTCACTGCAGGCAGTGAGACTGAGCAGTCTCAGTCCAGTTATGAGACGGAGGCCTTCGCCATAGCCGACGTGATGGCCTACGTGAGGCCGCCAATACACACCATCGCCGTCGGACAGGCTTGGGGCAGCGCCGCCATGCTGTTGGCTCTCGGTGAGTGAGAAGACTGACAAGGCAGGACAGACAGCTACACATGAGATGAGTATACACGCGATGATTTGTGTCATGATGTGATGCAGGTCAGAAGGGCCATCGATACGCCTTGCCCAATGCGTCCATCCTGCTGAAGCAGCCCAAGGGCCGCGCGCAGGGCGTCGTGTCTGATGTGGCCATCAAGGCCAGGGAGACAGTCAACAACAGGTACCTACCTGCGCAGCCAAACATTCATACACACATACATGAGTGAGTAGGTTCTGTCCGTCTGCATCATGCATCCTGTGTCTAATGGCTGTCATTCAGGCGTGTGGTGACCGACATTGTGGCTGAGCGCACCGGGCAGAGCAAGGAGCAAGTCGAGAGGGACTTCCTGAGGCTGAGATACCTCGCACCAGAGGAAGCGGTGGAATATGGACTCGTCGACAAGGTCAGCTAGCCTGACCAGCCAGCCACCCGTCAAGACACTGGCGCACCCCTGTGTGTGTGAATGTGTGTGTGCAGGTGTTGTCAAGCGAGAAGGAGTTGCAGCACCTGCCGACATTCATGCGCGAGCTGCAGCGGTTCGGTGCGGTGTCGTCGGACCTGCCATTGCCGCCAGCCAGGAACCCACAACTGTCACCATCTGGATCACACGACCTCTTCAGAGTGGGGACTACATGAATGAATGAGGGAATAGGGAGGGAGGGAGGGAGGGAGGGAGCCCGGCTGTGTTCTTAAGACTGATGTTTGGTGGTGGGAGAAGATGGCTCGCCAGCTGATGTTTAATTTTTGCTGAGTGGTGTGATTGATGGGTGACCTCATAGCATTAAGCATTACAGTGAGTGACATGAATGCTTTCACGAATACTTGACGTGCACTCATCACACGCACACAGAAAGGGTCCGGCATATCGTACGTACGCTACCCGTCCAGTCCATGGCCAGCGAGTCCGTCATTCTACTCACAGCAAGTCTGCGTGTATGTGTCCCTCCTCTGCAGTGCAATGCTGCCGGCAGTACCACCACGAGCTAATCCATGTGCCAACCTGACACCACACGCACACACATTGACAAAGGTGAGTACACATATCTCTTCCCATGTCCTCACCATCTGGCGTGGCATTTTGGTATCTATGAGCTTTTCTCGATGATGGTGCGGCCGTCATCGAACCGCATGGACGTTTCCATAATGTGTGGGAAGTAGAACACGTGGAGCACGGCACAGAAGGTGTTGAGCTGGGAAACTGTGACGATGTCATTCGGCTCAAGGGTGACCTCGGGCACGACGGGAATGATGACCGCGAGCACCCACAGGAGCCACAAGAAGAGGTCGTCGTTTGTCGCACCATCAGGCAGGTCACCTAGAAACAGCAGATCACACCAGACAGGCAGGCAGGCAGATGCTACGTAGGCCTTTCCCCCTTGTGTGTGTGTGTGTTGGAGGAGCCCGGGTGCATACCGCCACTTACCGGTGAAATCGATGGTCACTCCCTGGATGGCCGGCAAGTCGTGGCTCGCCCACTGCTGCAGACCGTCGCCGTACTGGAGGATGTCGTCCGGTGATATGTCAATCGTCACCGTCAGGTTCTCGGATACCCTCTCATCACCACCGCTCCCCTCGCTGCTGCCCAGCTGGCCCTTGAGCGCCTTGAGGAAGTACACGGCATCATCAGACCTGCGGAGGCGGATGTGGCGGCATTTGGGCATCTGCTTGGTGACGGCCTTGACGAGGCTGTCGAGCGTCTCCTGGGAGTGGGCCCTTGGTTGCGTTGCATGCGAATGTGTGGGCGCGGGGGAAGATGCCGTCCAGTCGTAGCCGAATTCGTCATAGTCGTCCATCGGGTACGTGAGCTCCTCACCATTGATATCGCCGGGGCCGTCGCCGCCGAACGAATTCGTGAGGCCCTCCTCTCCGCGTTCATGCTCGTCCCGTTCCTGCTGCTGCTCCTCCTCCGCCCATGTGCCGCCCCACCCGCTGACACTGCCATGCTCCGCCTCCTTCTCCCAGCCGTCCCCCTCCCAGCCCCCGTCATCAGCACCCTCGCCCATCTCCATCTCCTCATCGCCTTGCTGCTCGGCGAGACTGGTGGTGCATGTGAATGTGTGGGCGAGGGGGAAGATGGGGAAGACGGTCGGCTGTGCGGCTGAAATGGCGGACGTCACCTCTCCCCCACTGTACCGCACCTCGTCTGCTATCGCGGCCAATCCAAGAACAAGCTTCTGCACCTGATGGCATACGGACACGCATAGATCACGGGTGTGCGTGCATGAGTGTCGTCATGGTGCATATAGCAGACAGACACACCTGACGTGATGTGTCAGCTGCCCATCCGATCAGTTCCATGTCTATCTTCAAGGACACGCCCCCGGCTTTGGTGACCGTCAGCTGGTCCAGGGCCTCTGGCTGCATCACCGCCTCCACCAGCCGCCCCACCTCAAGCAGCAGCTCCTTATCCGATGCGTCGTCGGTCTCAATGTGCAGCTCGCGAAGGTTGTGGCGGCAGCCCCGGCTAACGAGGGTCTCACGCAGCTCGGCCACCGTCTCGCTCCCGGCTCCCCGCAAATTGATGGGGCCGATGGACTGGAGGCGGGAGAGGGACTTGCCGTCCTTGGGGGCCGTGGACAACAGGCCTTGCTTGACGCTCAAGAGAGTGGTGTCCACATCGAACTTCTCCAGATGCTCGCAGGCTCCCATCCAGCGGCTATGACTGCCCTCCATGTCCTCTACGCCATATCCCCACTCCTCCACCAATGTCAGCACTCGCAGACGCGGCGTGTACCACACCCGCCCGCCAGTGCGCACGGCCGCGTACTGGTAGGGCAGGCTGTGCACCTCCTCCAGGTGCGACAGGTCGATGGGGGAGGGGGAGGGGGGCAGCGGGTCCGCCGATATGTCGTAGCGAAACCCGCGAAACCCGCCGTCGTGGTCGTCGTCGAAGCTGATGACCTTGATGGACGAAGCGGGCTGTGGCACATGGTGCGCTGGCCGTGCTGTCCCCTCCTCTCCACCCTCGTGCTGCCTCTTCTTCTCCTTGTCGCTGATGGCCTTGTGGGCCGCTGCATTGCCCTCGATGATCGACACCCAAATGCCACCGCACCAGCAGCGGCTGTAGGCGCGAGGCCTGGTGAGGTGCAGGTGCGTCAAATGGATCGCGCGCTGCCCCCACTTGTGGGCTGTCGCGAGCGGCATCCTCTCCCACAGCTGCCGCACGCCGCCCTCGGCCGATCCGTCGATGGTCAGCTGCGTGTAGTTGGCGGCCGCCGCGTCGAAGAGGGCCTTGCCGAGGACGCGGCGGCGATGGGTCAGCTCCCAGGGGTGATAGAAGCCGAACACGTTGGCGAGCTCGTCAGGAGAGAGACGAAGTGCGGCCTAGGAATTAGACACAGACAGACGGACACAGACAGATGTGATTGAGTGTGCAGAGGTGGCGGGTCGTTCTTTTTGTGGTCACCGGCGGCTGGTGAGTTGGCTGTTGTCCCGATCTGGAGACCAGTCGATATGACGGCTGCGGTGGGGCAGCGGCACTCACGTCGGAATCAGCTGCGGCCACCTGAATGAAGCGCAATGACAACAACGAACACAGAGACCGGTCTCCACCTCTCCCTCTTTCCAACTCATTGTCAATGTGCTTGTCTACCTCAGCAGCGAGTCCGTCTGGCGATGCGTCGACAAAATCCATCTCATCACCGCTCCCACCACCCCCACCAGCAACACCAGCAGCAGCAGCTGCTGCTGTTGAGGCGTCGTCGTCCGTGTGCTGTGGGCCGTGCAATGCGGCCGGTGCTGTGGTGGTGAGGGCTTCGACCATGTCACGCAGGTCGGACTCTGCAGCAGAGGCGTGGACAGACGCAGCTGTGAGGCGGCGCAGGACATCACCAGAAGCACCATCGTCGAGCCAACATGCATCACAACTCCACTGCAGCAATGTTAAGGACGGGCAGAAGACATTCTTATGTCCTTCGGTGTCGTCCGCGTGTCACATCCACTCACTCACCTGGACTTTGTCCTGCAGCAGCCGAGACACATCCGCCGACACAGCAGACTCGGCAACTTGGAATTGACCCGACGCAGCCCCGAGTCAAAGCAGCGCGGCCATCGTGTCACCAGATGCACCGCCGTGACGCAGACGCACATCGCAACTCAGTTGCCACATTGCACAGACGAAAGGGAAGACAATCGTGTGTGCCTCGGTGCCGTGCATCTCATGCACTCACCTTGATTTTGTTCTGCAGCAGCCGAATCCTTTCGTGCAACACATCCGCCTCGGCACGCAGCTGAAGAGAACCACACGCAAGAACACAGCAGACAGGAGAGGCACGTGTGAGCAAACGCACAGAGCATCACATCTGGTTGGGCTTGTTGGTGCCTGTACCTCGCTGATGCTAGCAGGAGCTGTGACCGCACCGGCCGTCAGACCCGACGCCGCCATCACGTCCTCTTCCTCCATTGCCGACAACAAGAGCTACTGTGCGAGTCGGGCCGCCCGTCGCTGATGTCCAGTCATCGTTGCTATCGATGACCTCCGGATATGGGGTGGCACGGGCAGATGGACTGGAGAGATAAATCAGTCGGGCTAGATAGCCACAAGCAATTCCATCACTCTGCGACCGACCAATTCGTCACCCCGCCACGCTCTTGAACACCACAAACAGCGGGGTTTCAGGGTCAAGGGTTTTTGCCCTGTAAATGGAGTTTGGGGAACAGGAGAACAGAGCCAGACAAACACAAGATTCCGGCCAGGTGAGCCATCGCGAAACGCCACAAAAGAACCTTGGTGTTTCCATCGCCGCTTTGTGGCTGCCGTGCTGTGTTTGTGATGGTCAGGTGATGGTTCGTTGAGAGGAGGTGTAGCGAATCCCTGTTGCCAGCAGATGGAGCGTGGCGGCGTGCCAGGCGGCCGCATGCGACTCCGAGATGACTCGTCCGTGGGGCTGTCGTCGCACAACGCTCCCAACACGCAACACAATGCTCCGATGAGTAAGCAACAAGACCACACACAACAACGTAACTGAATGGATGTATCATCCAAACAACCCTGTGGCTGCTGCTTGTGGTCATCGCGTCTTCCAGCGTTCCCCGCTCCCAGAGTCCCTCTCGCATCACCCGTGTATGGCCGCCCTCCCCCTTACCCGCATCACTTGCACGCCGTCCCATCGCAAGTCCCTCCGGCTCCCCTCCTACCTCCCTCCGGTGCGCACATCCATCCACACCAGATCTACGCCCAACCCAGGGCCTCGAATGCGCAGCTCGGCTTCGCCAACTGCCCCCCCTTGCCACCGCAGAGTCTCGGCGTGTACGGGTCGAGTGTGACGGCAGCAGGAGCGTTGTTGCGGCCGACGGGAAGTGGCGGCAGGGGGGAGTCTGTCGGGCAAGGGGCTGATGTGGGTGACGAGGTGGCGGTGGAGGGCAGTGTGCAAGAGGTGGTAGAGTCTCTCAGGACACACATTGAACAGGTGAGCTGGCCGCACCAGACCTCACCACCACAGAGATCGCATGTTGTCTTTCTCCCGTCACTGCAGATTAGTTGGGCTGGGCGAGTTCTGCGGGATGAGCACTCGCGAGCTCTCAAGTCGGAGTGCGAAACGCCAATACAGACACACAACAACGGGCACGCTGGCCAGGTACATAAACAAAACACACAGCTGCACACATACATCCTTTCCTCTCCTTGCCATTTCTGTGTCCAGGAGGATGACGGCGGTTCTGCAGTGGAGCGTCTTCGTCAGGCGGCCGAGAAGGTGAAGGCTGCAGAGGCGTCGCTGTTGAGTGCGGCCAACACCCTGCTGCCCATGACCCAGATCCCAGCATCGGCCTCAACACAGGTATGCGGCCTGTGGGCGTGGGAGAGGCCAACAACACACATACATTTCTATATCTGCGTTGTCTGTTGTGCCAGGATAACCGACCACCGTCGTATCGTCTGGTCAAACTCAGCGGCAGACAGCCACCGCCCCAGCCACCGGTGCGCACACACCACTGCACACAGAACACCGTGCAGCGGATCCCACTTCTTCACCTGTCCCCTCTCTGCATGTGTGTGGGTGTCTGCAGGCGGCAGATCGTGTGTACGGCAACGTGGACGCCAGCGGCCACATGCTGACCATGCACTCGTTCTGGCAGCTCGCCAAGGCCGCCGCCCCCCACTGCGACCGCATAGTCTTCGACTTCAGATGCCACGACGAGTGGGAGTCGGTGCCCCCCGCCGCCGCATTCGAGATCGGCAAGCGTGCCGTGAACCTCAAGACGGTGGTGGTGCGGCACCCCCACCACTCCCCTCACTGGTGGATGGGCGGCTGGTCGTCCTTCATTGAGGGGCACTCGCGCGGCGTGGATGAGAGGAAGAAGACCGGGTGGCAGGGTGGAGGGATCGAGGAACTCATCTTCGTCCGCGTCCTGGACGCCAGCCTTCCCCGAACGGCCCCCCACAGACGGCTCCCTCCCATCACCCTCCTCCCATCCTTCAATTTCCCGGCACTCAAGTCCATCAAGGGCGCCGCCGAGGACCACCGTCACCTGTTCGACAGTCGGCGGTGGCGCATGCCGGCCCTCGAGCGGTTCGAGGGGGGTGTGGGGTCCTTTGGGGCGTTCTGCGGCACGTCCGATCGGCTGCAGTCCTTAGATGTTGGCGGCACTGGTGTTGGCGATGTAGCTGGTGTGATCGAGGGATTCTCAGGCGTGGGGTCCTCCAAACTCGCGCGTCTGTAGCGCGTCCGTGGCCTCGGTCTGGTGGGTGGGGACGCTGACGCAGACAGCATCGACAGACTTCGGGTGAGGCGCAGAGAGCACAAAGACAGATATCCGAGACATGACGTCCTTGTCTATGTGCCAATCGTGTCTTTGTAGGATGCGCTCAAGTCGCGGGGCTGCTCGAAGCTGCAGCGTCTTGACTTCATTCGCCGAGCGCTCATCGAGGTCACCCTGCCCACCCTCCGGGCCATCGAAGGATTCCTCCCTGCTGCAGCCCTCCCATTCGACCTTCCCGCGGCCGAGCTGTCGGTCAGCTTTTCGGACCAGGGCCTCCACTGCTTCGACATGTCGCTGCTGCATCGCATCCCCGCCCCCTCCCCCCTGATGAAGGCCATGCTGCGGCAGCTCGCCTCGCACGCCCTCCAAGTCGAGTGGACACCGGACGTGGCCTTCATCGAGCACCCGACCAGCCTCTCATGCGAGAAGGCATTCATTGAAAGCATTCGATTCAACAGGGCCTCGTGGCTGACCATCCACCAGAGCGGCCCCACCCTCCCTGCCGGCCAGACATCCGCCGGCGGCCCATCCATCCCTGACCCACGTGTGTGGTCGGTCATCGACCACATCGCCCCATCGGCTTTCCCGTCGCTCGACCAGCTGACTGTGGGCGGTCCGTTCGGCTGTGCGGCGGCCACCCGGCTGCTGACGGCGGCCAAGGTCCGCCTGCCGGCAGAGTCTCGTGTGTTGGCGGAGGGCGTGCAGGGGTCGGAGGCCCTTGACCTGATGAGGGCGATGGGCAGCGGGACAGTGCTCGAGTCGGTGCAGATAGAGGGCGTGGCGGGTGGGAATGTGGGCGGGCTGGATGAGTGGGCGCGGGCGAGCGCTGGGGGCCAGCTGCCCAAGACCAGTTCCCTTCGCATCATCCTTCACGACCGTAGGCGAACGAGACAGATGATGAAGGAATTGCAATGTCTCTGTCTCTGCCTCTGTCTCTGTGTGTACATGGCTCATAGTTAGCCGACGGCATTGCGTGGGAGCAGTTGGACATGATGCTGCAACAGTCTGTGCGGTCGACCAAGGACGTGGTCATCACGCTCCGCATGCGAGACCTGGAGGAGTTCCTGGCCGCCGTCAAGAGGCTCAGGGACACGACCCTGGCTGCCAAATGGACTACCATTACCACCTGGCCGGCCCACACACTCCGTATTTCACGCCGGACGTAAGCAAGGAGGGAGGGGGACTGCATGCACACACGCATGTGTGGATGTCTTTGGGTGTCTGTCTGTCTGTCTATCTGTCTTTCTGTCTGTCTGTCTGTCTGTCTATCGTGGCCTCAGGTAGCTGCTGCTGTTGACGCACACACGACTTCATCTATCCTCTATCTATTCATCGATGTCTGCGTGTGGGTGTGGGTATATGCGAAAAACTCAGCTAGGGGTAGAAGGCATGTGCAGCAGATCTGCGTGAGGACAGTGCGAAATTCAATCCTTTATACGTATGCTCGCGACAGTAGATGGGTGTTGACGGTCGTCATTCCTCTCACGGTGTCCACCGAAGCCTCGCAGCTACCACCACACAATCCTCTTTTAGCCGCACCATTCGCTCACACGCACCAGACATTAATTACACTGCATCCTAGTACCTACCTACCATATGAAGCGCTGACTCATAGACCCACAGACAGACAAATATGTACACCGACGGGTGGTCACCAAAAGACCCACCCATCCATCCATCCATCCATTCACCATGCCATGCAGCTTCTCGCCATCTCAGCATGGAGGGACGGATCATAACTCATCATTGTGACCGCCCTCGTCCGGCAGCTGCTCGTCAGGGTGCTGGAGAGAGAGGACGGCCGGGGAGGCGGCAGGCCGCAATGCAGACTGAACGGACGCACGAAGGACAACACACACGAAGAGCGTGAGCGATAGGGTGAGCGGCGAATGAGTTAGTTGTTGGGTTGTTTGCACACCTGTACAGTTTGCAGCGCCGCCTCGAGTGCGATCCAGGACAGATAATTCGTCGACCCACCCGCTGCAACGGCCTGCGACCTGCACACACACAGATCCACAGATGCACACAGACACAAGCGATTCAATCGCGTGCAGTGTGTCCATCGATGCTCGCTGACCTCGGCCTCAGCTGTGGCGGCAGCTTGGCCACATCGAATGTGGTGTGAGGGTCGATGCTGAGGACGAACATGAGCCCCGTGAGGAAGTCGCTGACGACTTGCACCAGGTTGCCCCACACACGCGCCTCGTCATCGACGTCCTGGCTGCTCACTTCGCCCAGCAGCACACGGCCGGAGGGATGGGAGAAGTTCCTGCTCAACAGATACCGCTGAGGGGAAGCCACACACGTGGGCACACACAGAGAGGCGCGTGTGCGTGTGGTAGATGCATGGATGGATGGATGAATGGATGGATGGATGGTGTCTTAGTTACCTGGAAGTTGTCAGTCCTGATAGCCTTGGGCATGCTCTCCGTCCACTGGTCGAACAAGTGTGCCATCTCCCCCTCCTTGCTCCAGTCCACCTTGCCCTGCCCAGCGCCTCTGACAGGCTTGAGCGTGCCCCTGTTGGTGCGGTAGAAGTCCAGCCAGAAGAGGCACAGCAGCCGGGAAAGATTGAACATTTCAACTGCAGCGCACAGGTCGCATGGCAGATACCGGTGTGTGTGCGTACACGCCTTGCTTGGCTTACTTACTGAGAGCGAACAGGTTGGACCTCCAGCCCTTCACCGTTCGGGCGAACTCCCTGTCGTCCATTCTCTTGACGTCATCCGGCCATGGGTTCACATCCAGCCAGAAGGTCTCGTTGCCCAGGGGGTACTGGGGGAAAGACAGACGAGGGCCGTCAACACCCTTCCTCTAAGAACACACATACAAACCACACACGACAAATGGCCCCAACACACGGATACACACATCCACTGTCCCATCTCACCTGTATGAGGACCATCATGTTGCTGCCCAGCACGGTGCGATAGTCCTCAAACCGGTCGATCGCCTTGTCATCGCCATAGAGCAGCGTCGCATTGCCGGCAAAGTCGGGCCATTTGGCCGGGGTGGGGGGCGGGGTGGGCTGGCCGTCACTGACGAACGTGAATGGCGTGTCGAGGATGGAGCCGTGGGAGTAGTGCAGGAGAGGGAAGCCCTCCTCGGCGCCGACCTGCATGTGTGGCGTGGCAGGGCGAGAGACGCTACCATTGCATCTGTGTGTGCGTGGCTGTCCTCACTTCAGCGAGGTCGGTCATATCGACGTCGACCGTGAGGTCGGCCGCGCCGGGGCAGGCGTAAGGAGAGTCCTGACAGCTCTCGGACTTGCTGTATGTCCTGCAGACACACTCATGCACACACACGTCCATCACTCAACGCGTTCGTTCTTGTGCCGTCGTGTGTGGACTCGCTTGCCTGAAGAGTTTGTTCTCGTACGAGAGAAGGTGGAAGGTGTGTCCGTCAAAGCCGTAGTCGACGTGGATGGCGTAGCCCCGATCCAACACGGCACTCGCCACCTACAAGTGTCCACACACAAGCGCAAGAACGGATATACGCCAGCCAATCCACACCGCGCCACGCACCTTCATGAAGTCTCGTATCCTCAGGTTGGCGTAGGTCGTCACGGGCCGCCCGCCAGCCCGCATCGACGTCTCCCTCAGCCTCTTCTTTGACCGAACCAGCCACCGAGCCAGCTCTGGCGGCCGATGTGCTGACCAAACACACACACAAAGCAGGAGCAAGGTGGTCTGTGTGTGTGTGCGTGTGTGTGTGTGTGAGTGTGTTGACCTGGGTCTGTGTGGAAGTAGACCTCGACCGTGTGGACGCTTCGAATGAATGTCGACTCGATGGGGTCTGTGCCGCCCTCCGTCCCCCACCTGCCGCGGCCACGGGCAATGGCGTCGCGAAGGTGCCCATACGACGACCTGATCGATCGACACACATCTGTGATGTACATGAGTCAGTCGTATCTGTCTGTATGTTTGTCGGTACCTTGAGAGAACGACATGGTCGTCTGGGGCAGGGAAGGGCTGCCGGGCGTTGAGTGCTTTCTTGAGCCAATCAGAGTCCTCATAAACAAGCTGCCGAAGAGCCGGCACCTACACACAGCGGACAAGAAACCCCCCTCCATCCATCCAGTACGCACACACACGCGCCATCGCGCGCACCTCGTCCTTCACGCTCGCCTTGCCCAACGACTTCAGCACGTGATCGAGAGGCTTCTTGCGGATCACCATGACCAGATAGCACAGCTCCACGCGAACACTGTCGGCCCCCTTGGCCGATGCAGTGAGCCACGACAGCCACGAAAACGACTGCGAGGGGAAGGGGGGGAACGACACGCGGACCTTGGTGTACTCGAAGGCGTCGACCAGCTCGTTGGTCACGACTATGCCCGTGACGGGCCTGCTTCCATCGGCAACCTGCACAAACACTCATGTCGGGACATCTATGCGACACACGCAGAATTTGTTTCTCACCTCTGATTCTGCATCGATGGCTGTTTCCCGCATCCAGTCATGGCTCATGAAGGGCGTGACGTTCCTCGCGTCAAGCGGTGCGTGTGCGGTGAACCGGCCGCCGTCCACATGCAGGGTGTTCTTGAGCAGCGACTGAGAGGCCAGCCCTTTGTTGACCTGCAGGTGCCATTGGTGACATCAAAAAATGGATGTGTGGATGGATGGATGGATGGATGAGTCACCTCTATTGCGTGGTAGCGGACGATGTCGTACATCTGCGGGTGGACCTCGTGCAGCCGCCTCAGTATGCTCTCAGCCAGCACGCCCCTGGACACACACACAGACACAGGGGAGGCATGCTTTTCCCTTGGTCTGTGTGTGGATGGGATGGCTGAGTCACTTGTTGGCTCCAAATTCGAATATGTGGAAGTGCTCTCTTGGACCGTCGGACGCACAGCAATACCACCACAGCTGAACCATCCTGACACACAATCACGTTCACACAAATTAGATTATATCTTCCTTGATCTGTTCACCCACCTCCCGACCTGTCTGCGATGACTGCGCCAAATCCAGTGTTGAAGAGCACCGGTATGGTCTGGAAGTCCTCCTGCACACCGCCACGGCTCAACGAATAGTACCCCCAGGATGGGGAGAACACCTACACAGACACACACACACACAAGGAGTCACCCATTGCAACGCATCTTCTTCCCCATTTCTGCGTACCGCATCGAAGTGCAGCCCCGTGAAGTCATAGAGCCTCTCCATCAGTCGTGGGTCGTGCGCCAGCCCGATCCCGTCCCACTGCCGCAGCCACGACGGCATGGCTGCGACCGATGCAAGAGCGTGGCCAAGGCATAACAGCAACAGGACGACTGAGAGCATGGCTATCTGCAGAGCATACACACACGCACACGCATTGGCATTGCAGACAGGGATGCCCAGGCTGCTCATGAGTGCACTCACCTCTCTGTATCATTCCACGAGCGCTTGTAAGCGCATTCTTTTTGACTGCACGCCTTCTGCTGACAGATGAAGGCCGTATCTCTTCAAATCAAGGAGATCTGAGGAGGGAGATCTGCAACGCCGAGCTCGCCATTTTCGAGCTCGCAAAATCAACCGGAGAGAAAAGGCCAGCAAAAGGGTCAGAGGCAGCACGTGTGCAAGATCTGATAAGCTCCCATCGCCAATAGCCGGCATGCAGCCCCGGTGCACGTCGGGTTCGCCACGGCATGTGCCTCGACGGCACTCGCCGTACGACAGGAGCAACAGCGGCGCCCACAGCGGGCACAGCACAGGCAGCGCGGGCAGCGTCAACAGGCAGACACAGGGACAGTACAGGAGAGGTAAGTTAAGTGATGTGAGGCAACGAGCGCAACCCACACGTACAAGTGTCTTTGTGTGTGGATGTCGGTGATATATTGTGTGTGGATGTCGTTGTTGCTTTCAGGCGAGACGAGTTATCTGCCTGGGATGACGTTGACTGACTTGTGGTTCGACTGCCCACTCGACTACAACAATCCCAAGGGCGAATGGGTGGGTATAGGAGCGCGGCAGACAGACAGACAGACAGACAGGCGGATGTGCGATGGTGTGCGTTTGTGCGTTGGGTCCACGCAGATCAAAGTGTTTGTCCGCGAGGTCGTATCGACAGGCCGCGAACGGTCCAATCAGGTGGCTTCATACACCCATTCACTGCCAGCGTCAGCACGCGCCACTGGGTCTGTCTGTGTGTCTGTGTGTGTTCAGCCTGCCTTGCTGTACCTGGAGGGCGGGCCCGGGTTCCCCGCACCACGACCGGTGTCCAAATCCGGTAAGCGTCGATAGCGATCGACAGACACGCGAGAACACGTGTACAACTCAGTCTGTGTGTGGGTGTGCTGTCGTGTGTGCGGTTCTAGTAGGTTGGCTCCACCGGTCTCTGGAGGAGTATCGCGTCTACCTGCTCGACGAGCGGGGCACCGGCAACAGGTCACCACACTGATGGCCGTGAGTGTGCTTACTTGCGCGTGTGTGGTGTGGATGATTCAGCACGCCCGTGACCCACGAGACGTTGAGCCACTTTCCATCCCCACAGCAGCAGGCTGCCTACCTGATGCACTTCAGGGCCGACAGCATCATCCGCGACTGCGAGAGGATCAGGAGCATACTGCTCAACCAAGAGAGGTGACCGACACACACACAGACACACACGAAGGACGTCTGGGTACACGTGCGTGTGTGTGTGTGTGTCAGGTGGACGGTGTTGGGTCAGAGCTATGGCGGTTTCCTGATCATGAGATACCTGTCGGAGGCGCCACATGCGCTGGAAGCCGCCATCATCACAGGGGGGCTGCCGCCCCTTCAACGCAGGTATCTGTCGCCATGCACATTCCACACACAGGTCAAGGTCATCGCTCTCTGCAACTTTCCATGCGATCAACAATTGTCAATCATCAGCGCTGAGGAGGTCTATCGTGCCACGTTTCGTCGCGTCATGGAGAGGAACAGGCGATTCTACGAGAGATACCCAGGGGTCAGCTCAGCCAAACAGTCAGAAGACACAACACAAACCGGCACAGCCACACAAGGGTGCATGGGCATGTGGTTCGTGTGCATCAGGACGTCAAGCGTGTGCAGGACATCGTGCGCCACCTCCACTACAACCCCACACCGCTGCCCTCGGGCGGCCTCCTCACCGCCAGGCGGTTCCTGCAGCTGGGCATGGGATTTGGCATGGCCTCGGGCTTCGAGTAAGAGAGCACACACGGACACAAAGAGGATCCTGTGACATTTTGGGCGGCTTCATGTGTGATGATTCAATCAGGTACACTCACTACCTGATAGAGCAGGCCTTCCTGACGCCTCCAGTTTTGCCGACGCCCGCACCAGTGCCACCACCCGCCGCACCGGCACCAAGTACGGCTACAGAGAGAGACACATGGCTGCCCCCACCACCGTGCACAATGTGTGTGTTACGGTTGCAGGTGCATCGTCGTCTTCCCCCCCTCCCCCGTCCTTCCACCCATCTGGCGAGGCGATGCCGCAGCAGGCGTCACTCACACTCATGGACGTCGAAAGCCCCACAGGTATCCGTATAGAACTTTATGCAGACAAAGTGTGCCTGTGTTGAGAGGGGGGCGTGTGTGTTTCGTTGTGTTGGTGTCATAGGCATGCGCGACATGAGCACCGGTCCGATGCGGCCGGTGGAGCCTCTGCAGCTCAGCTATCAGTTCCTCAGGGGCGTCGAGAGCGGACAGTCTTTCGAGGTAAGGGACCCCAGCTCACCAGACAGACAACCAGCACAGTGAACCTGTCTCTGTGCAGCTGAACCCGTTGTACGCGTTGCTGCACGAGTCCATCTACTGCACGTCGGGTGTGCCGCCGTCGATGTGGGCGGCCGAGCGCGTCATCCGCGGCGGTGACCCGATGTTTGTCCGGGCATTCGACTATGAGGGCAAGCTGCACTACAGCGATGGAGACATCATGAAGGAGCCCATTCTTTTCACCGGTAGACGTGCCGATGGGTGTGGGGTGGGACGGGAGGAGGCGCATCCTCTGTCGTGTGTTCCGTGTGTGTGTTGTGTTGTGTGTAGGTGAGATGGTGTTCAGTTGGATGTTTGAGGACTACGAGAAGCTGAGGCCTCTCAGGGACGTGGCCAACCTGATCGCCAACAAAGACGACTGGCCGCCTCTCTACAGCATTGACAGCCTCAAAAGGTACCAAACAACACAGACGGACACACACACATGCGTCCATCCACATGTGATGGTCAGGTGTGACGTGCCGTGTGCTGCTGCGGTGTATTACGAGGACATGTATGTGGAGTCTCGCTTCTCGGAGGAGACCGCCAATGTGCTGCCCTCATGCAAGATTTGGCTCACTAACGAATACCAACACTCGGGGCTCAGAGGTACGTCGACGAGACGCAGAGAGAGAGAGAGAGAGAGAGAGAGAGCTGGACGTTTGACCTGTTTCAACGTGCAGATGACGGCTACACGATTTTGAACAAGCTTTTTTGGATGGTCCGGGGCGGCGTGGCCATCCCGTCATGACACTCATGGGTGGATGAAGATCGATGGATGCGTGGAGTGCGAAATGCGCGCGCATTTGCCTACATTGACATGCAGACAGGCATTGGTGTGTGTGTGCGTGTGTAGCTGAGCGAGTATGTATACTAGCGGGCGGAAATGTGTACGTTTGTGTGTTGTGTACATACATTCAGGCAGGCAGGCATCGGCCGATCGGCCCTCTAATGAGCGGCCGCGTGTGCAAGGCAGTGGTCGACACGGACTCATGCGTGCAGTGGACGATGGGAATCGCTGTTCCTTCTAGCTGCACGTATGTATGTGCGTGTTGACTGCATTGTGGCCGTATACACTGACTGATTCAATATCCCACAGCAGTACCTACCAACGTGCACTAAGAGAGTCACCCCTCAACCCAGTGTTGTCCGTCCATCGGTCGCCGGCAGGGACATCTGCCACCCGCAGGCAGTGAACGCATAACGCAGCAAAGGCAGTCTCTTTCGCTAGTGGATGCACAACGACGGCCGGCGTCACTCGGCCACCAGCTGCAACTCGAGGTCGCATTCGCCGGCGCCATCTTCCCCCCCACATTCAGCCCTCGCCATGTTGTAACTGGTCTGGACTCGCTCGAAGCAACTCCACGCAAACAGCCTCAGACCGCCCCCCAACTCACCGGCAGGCAAGGTTGCAGACAGATCGACCTTGGCCGGTCGCAGCGTTGAGACAAGCTGCAAAAAGGCCATCACGGCCGTGGTGCTGCCTAGACGGGGAGAGGTCAGGTGCTCTATGGGAGGCGCGCGGAGGGCCCACACAGGACGCACAATCCGTGGCCACAGGTCCATCTCAAGAGGCCGGACAAAATCGACCTTGGCCAGCTGCCTCCCGGACAGGTACGATAGCAGCTCACAGCCTACGGCTAAGCTGGGCAGAAAGTAGAATCTGACTCGCTTGACCCCCGTCAGCCCCCCGATGAATCGACTGAGCTTGGATGGCGCAGAGGGCAGGTCAGAGAGAGAGAGTGTGGAAAAATGCACCTTCAGCAGCTCGACATGAGGGAAGGATCGGCTGGCCGCCGTCTGCCCCTCGCCCTCTCTGTCGATCAGCCACTCGGGGATGCTCTCTACCACCGCTGAGCCACTCGCGCCCTCTTCGAAGTCGATGGAGAGTGTGGACGCCCTGGGGAAGACCAGAGTGTCACGCCATGAGGAGTGGAGGGCCGTCCCACCCAGCTTCACCTCAACCTGCAAGTACTCACGTACATTCCCGCACACAACCAGCAAGTACCCAGAGAACGCCTCCCTCTCTTGCCTGCCATTCCTCACCGACGGCGCCTTCCTCGCCAGCTGTCTTGCGCTATCGGCATAGAAGCCGCCAGGCGCATGGGGGGCATTCGCTGCCTCACTGCTGCAGTCGATGAGCAGGCTCTCCTCGAACTCCGACGTCACGTCTTCAGGCCGCCACTCGAGCTCGCAATTTACCTCGGCCGCCCACTTGCTCATCGCCTCTCCATCAACCGCCCCCTGCCCGAAGTCCACACCGATCGTCGCATCACGCACTACGAACCCCAGCTTCTTCGGCACATCTGACATAGAACAAATGAGAAACAAGGACAATGAGCCAGCCACAGCACAGCTCTCGGCCAAGTCACCTACCTTTGTTCTCCGGTTTGCTCCAGAGTGGGTTGAGAGCCTGCTTGAGGTCATTGAGGCGGCCGAACTGGTGGGTGCGGATCATGACGCCGGTGATGATGGTGATGTGGGGGCAGTGGGCGAGGACAGCGATGAAGTCGCGCCAGTCGTCGTCGTCGAGGTGGATCCAGTTGGTCTGCAAGCGCTCGATCTTGGGCGACCTCTCCAGGACGCCGAAGAGGCTCTCCACTATTTCACCAATAGCAATGGTGTCGATCCGAAGGCTCCTGAGGTTGGGGAATGCCCAGCGACGCTCACTGCAGACAGGGGATGGTCGGGTGGATGCGCCAATTTGCACAAGCACGTTTGCTCATCCCCCTGTGTGCTCACCTGACGTGTATGAGAAACGAAAGGTCTCCGATGTCCATGTGAAGCAGTCTCGGGAAGGTCATCGGGTCGCCCGGGGCACATGTATTGCCAAAGTCGGGACACCTATCGAGCGTATCGCTCGGTACGTGCAGATCCTTGAGCGTCGCTCTGGACGCCTCGAGGCACTCAGACACACACCGCAAGGATCTCAGGGATCCAACGTAGGCCGTCTGGATCTTGTCCTGCACACACCAAACCAACCAAAACACCGGATCGCTCACTGGTTGGTCTGCTCTCTCCAACCGGGCCTCTCACCAGATGCTGTAAGTGCTCCAGCCTCTGGATGTTCTCATAGATCCGGCCCTCCTCCTCCGTCACGCTGAAGTGCCGGAACACGCCGAAGGTCTCGTCAATGGCTTTCTGTCGGGTCTCCCTGTTGACCTTGGGCATCCGGGCTGCCGTCTTGGTGCTGACGAAGGAGCCCAGGTGACCCATGACGCCCTCAGGCAGACCCGGCAGACACGGACGGCCATAGCCCTGACACACACAAGGGATAAAGGAGGATGACGACAACGCACTCACGACAACAGACATGGTGATGTGTGCCACCTGTGAGCTGCCCCTTTGCTGTTGTGTCCCTCCCGCAGCACCACCAACACTACTCGAACCACCTGAAGGCAACACACACCACAAGGCAGCACAGCCGTCGTCACGATGTGTGTCAGTCCATCGGGCGGTGTTATGTGTACCTCCTCTACTCGCGGCGGCAGCAGCAGCAGCAGCCGGGCTGGTGCCGACACGCGAGCGCTTCCCGTCGCCAGTTGACACCTGAACACATGAGCCGGTCCACTTGTGGATGCACTGAGTATGTGTGCATGTTTCCACTGACCGCTTTGGTGTGCTGTGCCGCCTTGTCTGTCTCATCCGAACTCTCAGACACACCGGGGGGCCGGTCGTTGACATTGTACAGCCACCGGAAGCCCTTGGCGTCACCATCCTTGCGCTGACATCCACACACACGTACACAGACGCAGGCCAGTGGTCAGCTCGCTACTGAGTGTGGCGTTGACTTCTCTGTCATTGCAGCTTTACATGTGTGCTGCGGTCAGCAGTGGGGACCTGCGACAGCTCGTTGGCGAGTGTCGAGTTGAATTCATTGAGAGGCTTCAACAGCACACCGACCAGCCGGCCAGCCAACGATGCACAGGCCTGCGAAGGGAGAAAGAGGCGGGTAATATGGCTGCACACGTGTGTTCGTGCTGACCTCTGTATTGGTGTCGGCATATGCCGCTGTCATCTTCGCAGCCACAGCTTTCGCGCCCATGTCAGAGATCACCTACAGAGCAGAGCCACCAGCAGCTGCAGCATGTGAAGAAACTCGCCATCCCTCCCCTTTCTCTCTTTCTCCCACCAAGTGTATCTTGTCTATGACATCCCGCAAGCTGCCGTCGCCATCCGACCCGCCGCTCTCCTCCCCTGAATGCAACACACCATCACCACCCAGGCAAGGCATGAGACAATCGGCGGATCACGCCCATCAGTCGACGTGTGGCTGCAGGTGTGACTGTGTCATGACCTTGTAAGGGCACCGGGCCGCCTTCGCCACTTACGTCCATCGCCAGGACACTATCAACAACCTGTACCAACCAATGAGAGAGAGGGAGATGAGATCCATCCACCCTCGTGTGTTTGTGTTTTCGTTTTCTTACAGCGACTTCGGGAGCAATTTTTTCGGCTGCTGCCACCCATCATGCTGCAGCCGGTGCTGTTAGCGCTGCGTGTCGGCGGTGAAGTGGCAGATGCAGATGCGCTGCCGCTTTCTTCCCGCCTTCCTTGGCTGGCCATTCATTCTCCCGTATCAAGGGTTTCGCCGGGGTCAAAGGGTTTCATACCCTTGAACTCGACGCAGGTCTCGCCGCCCGTCGGAAAGACGCGCGCGAGAGGAATCACTCGAGTCATCCTCTCGACTGCTTTGAGTCATCCTCTCGACTGCTGCGGTGGGATGGCGGGCTATTGAGCTGACAGCCAAACAGAGGTGAGGGAGGCCGACCACTCACTGACTCACTGATGCGCTCACTGATCCATTGGCCTCAATGCATTCGCCGTCCTTTTCTGTTGGCATCTCTCTCTCTCTCTGTGCGTCTGTCATGCAGGCGTGTCGTTGAGGAGTGACGGCGGCCTCCTCATCTGCTGCTGCTGCTGCTGCTGGTGGTGCATTGACTTCTCTGCATGCTAATCTGTCCATCTGATCATCGAACGAGGTGAGCAGCACACAGATCAATGAGCAGCATGCTTGATGCACACGATCCTCTGTCGGCTCTGTCGCTCTGTGCAGGCTGTTGTCGAGCACAGCCTAGCCCAGATGCAGCCACCGCAGCAGCAGCAGCAGCAGCCCTTCTCGTACATCTTCGTCGGCCGCCGCACCTTCTACCTCTTCAGCAGCATCAAGGACGTCGTGCGGCTGAGAGCCACCTGCACCTAGCTCAGGGATCTCTTCGGAGCGGCCCAGCTGAGAGATCGGCTCCGCCACTCGCTGGGCTCACAGGCGGGGCTGCGGTGGGCGGTGAATGGGCAGCAAGTGCAGCTGCTGCGGTTCGCCGACGACCAGTTCGGCGCCCATGATCTGCTCGCGGCTGTGTGTGTAGTGGAGGAGGGGAACTGGGGCGAGATGGGCGAGGTGATTGAGCTGGCCGGGCAGTGCGGCAACCGTGAGCTGCCTGTGACCCTCAGTGCTGCTGACATCAACGCACACGCAAACAAAACGGTGAGCCGGCAAACAGACGGGCGGGGAGGGGAGGGAGAGGGCCTCATTCTCTCTGTGTCTGTGTGTGGTCGTGTGTGTAGGCGTATGTGTCGGTTCCCCGTGTATTGGCGCAGCTCAAGATGGTCGGCCGTCACGTCCACTTCAGTGACAACCACAGCCTGCAGCTGTTCCACCACGGCAACGGTCAGGTGCGGGCCATCATCGACGAGCCCGGCTTCCGGCTGCAGGTCGATCCGCCCCTCCCTGCCGGCCATCTGTACCAGCGGCACAGACAGCCACACGACCCACCGGTGCGTGAAAGCATCTACTACTCGACCACCCTCAGCCAATGGGTGTCGCTGTGGCCAGCTCACCGTTGCGTCAGTGTCTTCGTTTGCCAAGTTCATGGTCATCGACTACCTCCGCGAGACTCACCAAATCAACCACACAGGAATAAGACTCAACAGGTGACAACACATCACTGGTACTGAAGGCAAGAGGGGTGCGCCGTTGACTGTGTGTGTGCGGTTGGCTGCTTCAGGGGTGTCGGTGGCGGCCGTGTGAACGAGCTGCTGACCGAGTCGCCCCACACACCAGTGGCCGGCTGCACGACCACAATGAGCTTGAAGGGTCGTGAGCGACGGCTGGTGCTGACCGACAGCAGCCACCCCTTCGTCGCATGGATTGACATCTGGGATCGAGGCAATACCGGTCAGCGTGACAGAGGGGGAGTGCTGCTGGTCAAATGTCGAGGGGAGTGCTGCTGGCCAAATGTCGAGCTTTCTTGTTCCCCTTGTGCAGTCTATGTCCATTTCAGGACCAGTGAGGCGGCTGTGTGTGAGGGTGGTCTGTTCAAACACCGCTTCCCGGTCACCACTCAGCTGGCTCGCGTGGTATTGGGGGCGGTGGGACCATTCGTATTCGACGGACAAGTACAACAGCAACAGGAGCAGCAGCAATGGTAAACACATGGATGGATGGAAGACGTGCCTTCTCTTTCACTCTCTGTGTGTATGTGTCTGTGCAGATGCCGACGATGGCAGCGGCGATGAGATTGGTGACCGTGTGGATGACGGCAGCGGAGAGGGCGATGGAGGTACACAGCCACATACACCACAGAGGCCCCCACGTCGACCTGCCTCTGTGTGTGTGTGTGTGTGTGTGTGTGTGCCTTGGGCAGGTGAGGGTGGCGCAGCTGAGGCGGAGGGCGGCGGCTGACCGATCCATTAGCCAACACGCACTGGTGGGTGCGCAGCGATACATCCCCTCTGTCGCCATGTGGCTGAGTGTCGCCCCGCCCTCTGTGCGTGTGTGTGTGTGTGTGTGTTGTCAGGAGGGCATCTCAAGTTGGGTGCTGGCTGTCGTCATTCATCTCTGTCGCCGATCCGTTTGTTCTTCAGGACACATCGCCCACCACTCACTCACTGTGTCGACCAGCTGTTGCTGTTGTGTGCACAGCAGATAGATAAGCAGGAGGGAGGGAAGGCGGCTGTGGTGGTGGACGCACCTTCACAAGCTCATCTCTCGTGTGCACAGCCAGCCTGCCTGCCTGCAGACCGGACGGTAGAGAGGGACAGGCCTCTATGCGTCGATTCCGCATCGATAGCATAGCGAGGCAGTGTTTTCCACATACAGTAGCGACTACCCACCACACACACGGCATGAAGAAGAGCCTGTTGGTGCAATGGTCGATCGGGTGGCTCAGCTGTACGTTAATCTTCACATGCAATGAATGATTCATGCAAGAAGTCAACCATGAAAGAATCGCTAAACCTTATCTGCCCGCTTGCCCCTCCTTCACTTGGCCACCAGGTCGGCCTTCAGCCAATACTCCTCCCTCTGATTCAGCTCACACGACCCATCGGTCATGGTGTAGAGTGCCTTGAGGCCTTCAAAGCACTCCCACGCCAGTGACCTGAGGTCCCTAAGCGCATCAGTCTGATCCTCCCCCTCCAACCCAATCTCTGCCAGCTGTGCATCAAACTCAACCCTGACTGGGCGGCATATCGACAAGAACTGCACAAACGACCGCACCGCTTCCTTGCTAAGCTCACCCAAATACCATAGCTCCCCCCGCGAGATGCGCGGCAAGCGCAGACGCCACACCGCCGGCTCGTTCTCGGGCCATTCATTCGACGCAGGAGGCCGCTCAAAAGAGACGTCCTCCAGGCGCGTCACAGAGACATACGACAGCAGCTCACAAGCCAGAGCTAGGCTAGACAAAGAGCGGAACCAGACAAGCACCAGACCCTCCAGCCCGCCCACGAGACGACTCAGCTTAGAGGGTGCAGAAGGTAGGTCAGAAAAAGGGAGAGTCGGAAAATACACATACAGCTCCTGGGCCGCTGGGAAGCGGCGACTCACCGCCCCCTCCCCATCACCGACCAGCCACTCCGGGATGCTGTCCACCACGGCCGAGGCACTCGCGCCCTCCTTGGCCTGGATGACGAGGGTCTCGGCCTTGGGGAAGACGAGCTTGTCACGCCAGGTCTGGTGGAGTGACTGGGTCCCACCCAGCTTGACCGTGACCTTCACACACACACACACACACACACTCACACACAACACGTGTTCCTCTGTCCGGTTCTCTCTCCCTCCCTTGTTTGCCCGCTCCTCACAGAAGAGGTCTTGGCTATCAGCTGTCGTGCGATCTCGCCATAGAGGCCGCCGGGCGCAGGCAGGGCATTCGCAGCGTCACTGCTGTAGTCGAGCGCCAGCCCGCCCCAATCTGTCTGCCACTCGAGCGCACAGTTGACGTCCTCCGTCACCCATCTATCGAACGCCTCGACGCCGTCCGCCCCCTGTCCGTACGCCACACCGATCGACGCACCACGTACCGCGAACCCCAGCCTCCTCGGCACATCTGACACACAAGAGGGGCAGAAATGGCCCAAAAGCCGGTCCTGGTCCGATAGAGCTTTCGGCCAAATCACCTCTGTTCTCTGGTTTGCTCCAGTGCTGGTCGAGGGCCTGCTTGAGGTCATTGAGGCGGCCGAACTGGTCCATCTTGATCGTCATGCAGGTTATAGTGGTGATGTGGGGGCAGTTGCTGACGGCGGAGACGAATCTGGCCCAGAGGTCGCTGTCAAATTCGATGGGGCCGGTCTCCAGCCTTTCGATCCTGGGCGCCCCCTCAAGGATGGACACGAGGGATGTCGACGACACATGATCCGCAAGGCAGATCCGTGCTTGGAGACTGGTGAGAACTGGGAATGCCCACCGTCGGATGCTGCGGACACAAGCACACCGAGATACACCAATACGATAACGTGATGGATAGCTGTCGTGTGCACTCACACAGACCTGACGTATTGGAGCCACGGCTTGGAAGGCACGCACGTCGCTATCCGGTCGGCCGAGGAAAGATCACGTGTGCAGCTCCTTGAGTGTCGCCCTGGACCCCTCGAGGCACTCGGCCACACAAAGCACCACGCGCGGAACATCCAGGTAGGCCGTCTGAATGTTACCCTACACACGCATATGTAGGCAGAGATGGACACCTAACCGACACATGCATCTCACGCAGCACCTTGACTGACTCCCATCTCACCAGGTGCTGTAAGTGCTCCAGCCTCTGTATCTTCTTGTAGCTGTCGACCTCGTCTCTCGTTATAGTGAGCCGCCGGAACACGCCGAATGTGCTGTCGGTGGCCTTCTGTCTGGTCTCCCTGTTGATCTTGGGCATCCGGGCTGCCGTCTTGGTGCTGACGAAGGAGCCCAGGTGACCCGTGACGCCCTCAGGCAGACCCGGCAGACACGGACGGCCATAGCCCTGACACACACAAGGGACAGATGATGATAAGGCACTCACGGCAACAGACAGAGATGGTGATCTGGGCCACCTGAGAGCTGCCCCTTTGCTGTTGTATCCCTCCCGCAGCACCACCAACACTACTCGAACCACCTGAAGGCACCATACACCACAAGGCAGCACAGCCGTCGTCGCGATGTGTGTCAGTCCATCGGGCGGTGTCATGTGTACCTCCTCTACTCGCGGCGGCAGCAGCAGCAGCAGCCGGGCTAGTGCCGACACGCGAGCGCTTCCCGTCGCCAGTTGACACCTCAGCACACGAGCTGGTCCACTTGTGGATGCACTGAGTAAGTGTGTGTGTTCCCACTGACCGCTTTGGTGTGCTGTGCCGCCCTGTCGTTCTCATCCGAACTCTCAGACACACCGGGGGGGCGGTCCTTGACATTGTACAGCCACCGGAAGCCCTTGCCGTCACCATCCTTGCGCTGACATCCACACAAATGCGCAGACACACAAGGACGTGACTGCTTTGTTTGCGCGGTCTATTGGTCGTTTAATCCTTACATGCGTTTCTTGTTCGCTGGGGATCTGCGTCAGCTCGCTACTGAGTGTGGCGTTGGCGTCGGTGAGGGTCTTGAGCACACCGGACAATCGGCCAGCCAGCGATGCACAGGCCTGCAAACAGACATACGGACACAAACGGACACAGATCGGCGCTGGTCGACGGTTGCTGAATGTGTGTTTGTGCTGACCTCTTTGTTTTCGTCGGTCTGTGGTATCTTCAGCTTTGCCGCCTCACTACTCGCGGCCATCTGACAGCTCACCTGAACAAGGCAGCAGAGCCACCAGCAGCTGCGGCATGTGCTGGCGGTTTCCCCCCTTTGCCCTTTTCGCTCACCGCATAGATTTGGTCGATGACATCGCGCAAGCTACCATCGCCACTCGACCCGCCACCACGCCCACCTAAAACACATCATCAGACACACATGCGGGTCGCGTCCATATGTGGTTTGATGCGTCATCACCTCCAGCTGGGCCGCTATTACTGCTGTCCATCGGGAGGACGCGGTCAACCATCTGCACAACGGATCGCAAGGGAACTCTTCGAGCCCGAGGGGGTGCAGATCGTCACGGGCAAGAGGTTCCTGGGCGGCTACGTGGGCGATGAGGGGGGAAGGGCGGCGTTCCTCTGCGAGAAGGTCGAGGGGTGGGTGCGCGGCGTGCGCGCGCTCACGTCTGCTGCCCGC